ATGCTTTAGAAAAAATGAAATGTTTCCTGTTCTTTTCTACATTAGCCTACGTTAGTTCTCTTTGTATGTAAAAGCTTATAAGCAACCTAAACAGTAGTTCATCTAACTTCCGGTGCACCTTTATTTTTTTATTTTTTATTTTTTAAATATATCTTTATTGATTTCAGAGAGAGGAAAGGAGAGGGAGGGAGAGAGAAACATCAGTGATGAGAGAGTCACTGATCGGCTGCCTCCTGCAGGCTCCGGACTGGGGATCGAGCCCGCAACCTGGGCATGTGCCCCGACCGGGAATCGAACCCCAATCACCTGGATCCTAGGTTGAGGCTCAGCGGCTGAGCCACGCCGGCCAGGCTTGGTGCACCTTTAAAATGACACTGACGCCCAGCTGGTGCGGCTCAGGGGTCGAGCGTCCCCCTAGGAACCAAGAGGTCACCGGTTCGATTCCCGGTCAGGGCACCTGCCCCGGTTGCGGACTTGAGCCCCAGTAGGGGGCCTGCGGGAGGCAGCCGATGGACGATGTTTCTCTGTCATCGATGTTTCTCTCTCTCCCTCTGCCTTTCTCTCTCAAAAAAAATCAATAAAAACATTAAAAAGTAAAAATAAATAAAATGACATTGACTTCTGCTGTATAGGAGTTTTGTTTCTTCCTGCTCTGTTTGTTAATGTCTCGCGATCTCGATTTTATTTTGGATCCAGAAGGCCCCTCGGGATAGACTCGGACTGTAGGAGCACATCCACTCTTTCCTTCCAGGTCACTTAACACTTGGTCTCTTGCTAAAGTGACATCGCTTAACGTGTCCTGTGCCCTGTTCTAGCTTACAGACTTGCTGAGAGGTCACATTAAACATTTTTTTTATTTATTTAAATCAGATGAGGGTTAACGTTAAGAAATATGGGTTAACTTAAAAAATAACCACGTCGAGAAAGGTTGGATGATTTCTTCATTGTTTTCTTCATAGAGAGTTTCTGTCCATTTCTTTAGAATTAGCGCGTGGTGTGCCCCCCACGCCCTGCTGTAGCGAGAGTTTTCCATCGAGCCCTGAGCCTTGTCGAAGGGGCAGGAGGGTCAGCTGTCTGCCTGGCACCGGGTCCGACAGGACGGAGCTCAGGGCGGTCGGCCGCTTGGGCAGGACCCTGAAGTGTTGCGGCCAGACCGCGGAGCGGGTGCGAGTGTTAGGAGTAGGGTGGGATAGACCGAAAGCATTTTCTCAGTGGGCCAGATGTGAAACCCCCACTTTTTTGGTTTTTTTTTTTTTAGCAGTGATGGGATAACTAAATCTTCAAAGGGGGAAGGTTTGACCGAAAACCAAGGAGGAGCCAGGTTCTTTATGCCTAGAGCGCCCTCTAGTGGTCACCAGGAATAGGGCGCGCCGGCAGGAAGGCCTTGCTCTAATGCGCAGAATGGGCGTATTTGAGTCGGTGACTTGGAAATTCTTAATAGTGTTTTCGGGGGAGGGGGTGTAGCTCATCTAAAGCAGATCCTGCGTAAAGCTTCTTAAAGACGAAGCAGTTCGTTTCCAATAAGCGCCTCTCCCTCCGGGCCTGCCCGGCGTGTTTCTGAGCCCAGTGGGCTGTGCGGGCGTCTCCCTGCCCGCTGCCCGAGGTCGGGCTGTGTTGAGGGCTCACAGGGCCTCCCTGCTGCAGACTCACAAGGAGGGGGCAGGTGTTCAGCGAGTGGCGTGTCATCTCGCACATCAGTGTTTGGGGAGTCGGGAGTGGAGGGGCGTGTCTGAGCCCCAGCATCGGGACCCCGAGACCCGGCGGCCTCACTGCCTGCGGGCTGTGCCACCTTGACCGCCACCTCCCGGGGCTCTGGCAGGGGTAAAACGGGGAGTTTGCCTGAGGCCCTCAGCGCACCCATGGGCACACAAGTGTCGACTGGACGGTGGCTCCTGTTCCTTTTATTTCGGTACACCGGCAGTTTCCCTGCAGTCTTGCCTGGGTGCCAGAGCTCGTCTCTCTCTGCTCCCGTCCTGGGGCATGAGCCTGGCCCTCGGTGTCCCCACCCCAGCTGGAGGAGGGCACGTCCGTGCCTCCCACCCGGATGGCCCTCGTGTCTGCACGAGGCCCTGGGGGAGCCCGGCTGTGGGCCCTGAGTGGGAGAACCGACCCCTTGACTCCCTCTGATTTGATCAGTGCTGTCAGCAGGGCGCTCTGTGCGCCATGGTCACCTGCACACAGTGACCCTGGGTTTTCCCTGTTGACGCCTTTTCCTCTGGGGCCACATTCAACTCCTCCTCTCTCCTGGTCTTTCTGGGCAGCCTTTTATTTCCATCTCAGAAGCAGGATCCCCCGAAACATTCTGCTAACGATGACTGTTCCTGTGCGGGGGTGGCTTTTTGTGGGGTAGACTGGGTTTTAAAAACTCCAAGTGGGTAAAGGAATCCTGTCAGCACAGGTAAGGGGAGGGTTTTGAGCTACTGGGCGATCTCGGGTTGTGGGAGGAATTAGAGCTGCCGTGGTCACCTGTTGCCATCCTGCCTTTGTCGGTTCCAGATGCCATAAGTTCCACCAACCCGCGGGTCATCGACGACTCCAGGGCGCGGAAGCTGTCCAGCGACCTGAAGCGGTGCACCTACTATGAGACGTGCGCCACCTACGGCCTGAACGTGGAGAGGGTCTTTCAGGACGGTAAATACCCCGCTGTGAGCACGGAGCCACTTTCCCACGCAGCAGGTCCCCTGCCCACTCGGGTGTCAGAGTCAGCCTCTGACCTGTGGGCCCTGGGGTCAGATCCGAGCGCCGCACCTGTGGGGTGATGCTCAGGCCTGTGCCCCTTCACCTGGCATGTTTGGAAGATGCCACAAACCCCTGGCTGTGCAGTGGCCAGGCCGTGGCTGTGCGGTGGCCAGGCCGTGGCCTGTGTGAGGAAGCGCTTACCACTGTCCTTGGGCTGGAGCCCTGGTGGGCAAGGTCGGAGGGGTCTTTCCCGGTGCCGTTGTTTACAATATTGAAGCGTCTTGTGTCACTCTGGTGCGTCCTCAAGCAGCAGTTTGACTGGTTCAGCTCATTGTTTCCTTAGTTCGGTTATCGCAGGCTCAGGAGAGTTTCAGCACATTTTATTTCTTAGAAAGAAGACATTCTCATTAAATATTTAGATTGTGCATAGTCTGCAAAGGAAATAGTGCCCATTTTACTACAACCTCTCTAACAATTGTGATTTCATCCTCCAATATTTTTATGAAGGTAAATTTTAAAAACAAAATTGAGGTTACTGTGCACATTTTATATAGTAATTATACAGTGTATTTTTTAATTAAGTCATGAGCGCTCTAATTGTGAGTGGTCAGAGTAGTTGCTGAGTGGGGGCCACGCTCAGCCCTTGGAAATCACTAACAGGAACAACCCCTCTTCATCCTCAAAGGGAAAAAACTCATAAGGTTCAGTGTTAGACACCGAGGCTCAGAAAAGTGGCGTAAGCTGGCCAGAGGCTCTCCGTCTGGAGCGGACCCTGTCCTGGGCCAGGAGCCTCGAGCCTCAACCGTGGGGTCACGAGTGGACGGGACCTGGGCCCTGCCCCCGCCCCGGGCAGGCCGGGCAGAGGGCCCGGCCGGCCGCTGCTCACTGCCCACTCGTGTATGCGGATCTCAGTGGCCTCTCTGGCCTCCTTGTGTCCTGGCACTTGGTTTTCTTTATTCACCTCCTGTGCCTTTGCAGAAAGGATGTAAAGAGAAAGTGTGTCATTTCTGTGTCGGGTTTCGCTCGTCAGCGGAAGGGAACAGGCCACGTGTTCCACACTCGGCCCCGGCTCCCGCAGGCCCCGCACCCCCTTGGCTGCCACCGGGGTCACGCTTTGGGGGACCGGGACCTCGCGTCTTTGCTGCTCTAACCTTTAACTTCATGTGTCTGGAAACAGAAAGTAAATTGTGAAAATAAGAGGAAAACAGAACATGTGTTTCCTTTGCCTCATCCGTGTGGCTGTTGGGAGGTGACTCGGGAGGGAGGGTCTCCGTGAGCGGCAGGGAAGTCGGGAGGCAGGGAAGTGGGTTCAGTCAGTCATTCACCCCCAACGTGAGCACCTGCCTCAGGCCGTGGCCCCTCTGGTGAGGGGGAGAGACACAGTGGGAAGCATGGTGGGGCCCCTGCCTTGGTGACGTGGGAGCCCGGTGAGGGGGGCAAACATGGGACCGTCACCCAGGGTTGCAGGGCGAGCACCTGCCGGGGTGGAGGAGCGGGTGCTGGGCCGGGTGCAGGTGGCGCGAAGGCCCCGGCGCGGCACTGCCCCCTCTTGGAGGAGGACCGTGGACTCTGTCCGTGGCCTTCATGGTGGGACGTTCGGGATTTTAGGTCCCTGCCGTTGGATTTTTGAAACTGTGGATTTAAGTTTCTTTCAGATATTTCTGCGTCACTTTCATGTAATAGTTTAAAGGTCCCAGGTAAGGGTTAGGGTGGCTCCTTTCATACAGGATGAGCCCAACCAGACGGTGGCACAAACAGTTGCTCTAAATTTCCCGATCGCTGATACTGTGCCCCCTCGCCCCCCGAAGGCGCTAGCACAGAGGCTCGGACTGTGAACAGTTTCGTTTTGCGTGGGGGTGGCTCTGTGTGCAGGATTAACACCCTTGTCCGTAGATGATAAAATGCTAGTCATTTGTTAAGTCCCAAGTCAAAGTGTCCCATTAAGCAGGTTAAGGCAAGTTCCCCACGAAAACGCGAGCCTCTTACCTTCCTGAGCTTGTGTTCACAGGACAGCAGGAAAAGCTGTGCAGAATTTTGCCCGGATGGTCATTGTTAGGCCAGGTCCAGACCCGTGTGAGCCAAGATGGGTGTAAGTTACAAACTACCTCATGTCCCCTTAACCCCCCCCAGCTGCGGGTTTCTGCCCCTCGCCTGTCAGGGTAACTGGGTAGATCCGTGTCTCGCGTGGGGGACCTTCCCGTTTTAGGTGCACTCGGGCGGGAAGCTGGGCGGCGGCCTCTAACGGGCTCTGCCCGACAGTTGCCCGCGTCCTGTGTGTTGTCCCAGTGGGCGGGCGCCTCTGACAGAGTCCTCCCCGACCAGGCCCTGCACCCAGCCCTTCGCACCAGGACGCGGTTAACACGCCGGAAAGCGCTTTCGAGGACGCCGTTCAGCCCTGCCCGGGGCGCTCAGCGGGCCTGGACCCCCCATGCCAGGGGCCGAGCCGGGAGGGGTCGCGCGGCTGGCCCAAGGTCGTGCGGGCCTTGCCAAGGTCGTGCGGGACAGTCGGGGCCCCGGTTGGCTTTCAACCCTTTGCTTCCGCAGTTGGAAACCCCGATGTACAGAGTCCCGTGTTGCGTGAACGTCGTGGCTCCCGGTCCCAATTACAGGAGTGTCCGGGCGGCGGTGGCTGTGCTGATGAGCCCGTTTGCGCGGCCTAATCGTGAGTGTTCGTGCGTCATTAAGTGGAGGGGGTCTCCTGGGACCACGCCCCGCGCCCGTGGCCCCGCCGCCGGCTGGCGGACGCCGTGGCCTTTGTCTGCTGGGCGGGACCTGTCACCCGTCTGTCGCTCCTGGAGCCGCTTCCTTTTCATCGCTGGGGGGCCTGTTTCACTGCTGGCTTTTGTGGCTCTTGTGTGTGTGTGTGTTTTTAATTTCGTTATTGTTAGAGATTAGATTGGAGCCAACTTAGTTTTATGTTTACATGTATATTTTTTCCCCCAAAGGAGTACTTCCAAAAATAAGATTTTTTCACGTTTAAAAGCAAACCCTAAATGTGTGTACGTTTGGCATATGTCGAAAAGTGAGCGAAGGATCCCAGTGCCTGTTACTACGTAGTTTTCATCATTTGTCGTCATGACTGGTGTTTACATCGCAGTCTGGGGGACGGCAGTGTGTCTCCATGAGGCCCGGTTCACAGCTGGGAGCCGCGTCCCCAGATGTTTGCTTGGGGGGGTGGTGACCCTTGAGTGAGCCACGTGGTTTCAGCATCATTCACTCGTCACAAGCAAGAAACCAGCTTGTTTCTTTGTTGGCCTTTGCCTAGAAGTTGCCCCTTTAAGAGTTTATTTCTTGACCTTTGAACTGCTCAGTGGACCCAAAGGCCGTGCTTTTAATAAGGAATTACTGCCTTAGAATAACAGTTGATTTGCTTAAAATTACCTCTCCAAAGTGAGCTTTTTTTAAATTTTTTTTTTTTTTTAAAAATTGATTTTTAGAAAGAGAGGGAGGGAGAGCGAGAAAGGGAGAAACTTCGATGTGACAGCGAAGCACCCGCCCGGGGACCGAGCCCACAACCCAGGCCAGTGTCCTGACCGGGAATCGCACCCGCAACCTTGTGGGGCGCAGGACGCCGCCCACCCACCGAGCCTCCCAGGCTGGGGCCAGAGTGAACTTTCTCGGGCCTTTTGATTCTTTCAAGAACAACCTAGGAAGAAGTCTTCTGAACATCTTGGTTAAAGATTGATATTATGACAAACGAGAGGCATTAAGTAATCTTTCATTTCACGATGCCGCGGAATATGGTGCTAATAGCGGCCTCGATCGCCTCGGCGGTTCCTCCCGATCGGGGATGTTTCCTGCTGTGCTTCTCTCCCTGGAAACCAGACGGGCCCTGCTGCTCGCTCGCACCCGGCTCCCGGCGGCCCGGTTAACTCTCGCGCTGCCGACGCGAGGTCATTAGGCTCGCTGTCAGCGAATGCCCTCTGTTTCGATTTCCATGTTAAGACTCCCATCTTCGGCTCAGAATTAATTTTATCGATGACACAGAAAATGGTTATTTTAGTGCTTTGCTGCGCGGCGGCCTCCTCGCCGCGTTTGGCCCCAGGACTCCTCCTAACGACCTCAGCCGGCTTGCATTAGCGCCGTGTGTCATTAGTGCATACAAATGGCTTTTATTTTTGTTCATAATCTGTTCATAACGCCACGGCTTTCTGCTCGCCCTAATGTTTTTAAAATGATTAAGTGGCCGTGTCCTTTCTGACCCGGTTAACCCTTCGCGGAGGGTCGGCAGAAGTTGTCTCACCCTCTTGCTGATGTTTTCGAGTAATTTTGAAGCCTCTTTATTTCGTAACTTTTCCTCCCGTGTAGAATGTGGCCGTAGCCAGGCTCCGACCTTCCCTCCGGAGGAAGGACGCACCCCTCCCCCTGGGTTGGCACCAGAAGGCTCGGCCTGTGGCAGATGAGGCAGGTGGTCCTCGAGGAGGCCGGCCTCCTAGTTGTGAAACGCCTCCACGTGAGGAGGGCAGCTTTACCGCACAGACTCTGACATATGGGTTTTAAAGATTAGTTTATTGATTTTTTTTTTTAGAGAGAGAGAAACATTGATGTGAGAGCGATTGGCTGCCTCCTGCATGCCCCCTACCGGGGATCAAACCCAAAACCCAGGCATGTGCCCGGACCGGGAATCGAACCAGCAACCTTTCGGTGCACAGGACGATTCCCAACCAACCGAGCCACGCCGGCCAGGCCCGGACGGATATTTTTGCCCGCTGCCGGGGTGAGCCTGGCCCCCGGGGTGGGCGGGGGGCTCAAGCCCCGACCAGCTGGCGGTTTCCCCGAAGGCCAGGCTCGGGAACCTGGGGCCAGGTGTGTGCTTAGTGCCGGGCGTTAGGCGCGTTGTGAAGGGAGGGACACACCAACAGCCTCACCCGTCAGTCCTGGTTTAGGGAAAAGTAAACCGTGAAGAGAGTGGGTTGCAGACCTGTTTGTCTCAAAGAAAAATAGACTGTGGA